TGTAATGGGTTGTTATATGAGTTACTGTTGCCTTCCTGTCACCTCGAACCAGTGTGACGATCCTCCTCTTACCTCTCCTCTTTCATCACCAAGGCTTTTCTGCCTGCAGAACTGCTGCTCACTGGAAGTTTTTTCTTTTTTGCACCATTCTGTTTTAACTCTAGTGACTGCTGTGTGTGAAAATCCCAGGAGCTCAACAGTTTCTCAAATACTCAAACCAGCCTGTATGACACCAACAACCATGCCATGGTCAAAGCCACTGAGATCACATTTTCCCTCACTATCATGATGTTTGATGTGAACATTAACTGAAGCTCTTAACTTGTACTTGCATGATTTTATGCACTACGTTGTTGCCACATGATTGGCTGATATTGCATATTGGATAATTGCACGAATGAGCGGGTATACAGGTGTTCCTAATAAAGTGGCTAGTGCTTATAGATTTCTAGATTTCTCTTTGTAGAAGTTAGCTCATTGATTAGCACATATAGATTTCTTTATTGACAGAGGACAAAAATAATCCCTGTACAGATTTACTTACGCAGCAGGATGCTTCTGGAGCACCAGCACTCATAGTTCAGAAGGCCATTCCTCTGTGATGCCTATGATAATGTGTTGATGCCATGTGTGAGTGTGTGTGTGGAATCTTTCATCAAGCCTTTCATCATTAGTCTAGGTTGTTCTGCTGCATGTATAGAAACATCACCTTCTCAATTTCATTCTAAAGAACACACACACACACACACACACACACACACAAACTTAGCATAGAGCACCTGTTCAAAGGGTGCAACATAATATGGACAGTGTTATCTTGAGAGAACAGTGACTTTTAGCTATATATATATATATATATATATATATATATATATATATATATATATATGAATATCTGAAAGCTAAGCAATGCCGCTAATGACTGCTTCAGTTCTCAGCGTGAGTCCAATTCATGAGGATAACATCAGGGTGATTTCTATTACTGTTCTATTACTAGAGGACATTGGTTCAGCGATATCTGCAGACTGACTTAAAGAAATCTAGCACGGCAGTTACTTCTTCTTCTTCTTCTTCTTCTATTAAATTCTGTGAGTGAACTACACAAAGTGATTTTAGCTGTAGGAGTCTGGCAGCGTTCAGTGTTTATCGCTCAGGTACACAGTAGGCAAAAACCTGCATCGAGATGATAGAGGAAAATAGACTTGTGCTCGTTTCTTAAATCAGAAGCAGTATATCATCTACAGTCTCCATCTAGGCCTCCCCTTTTCTTCTTTAAGGCCAAATTTAGCAGACCCCATGCTGAGTTTTGATATGAAACCCTGGTTAAATTTTAGGTGTACCACTAGTTAAAATTTGAGCCATGCTTGTGCAGAACATGTCTGAATTAACTATTTATACTTGGCTAATCCTTAGCCATAATAAGGCTCTACAGTCCTTTGCTAATGCAGCCCCATATAAGAGAAAAAGGAGTGGATGCCCAAGGCCTGCAAAAAGCCGGATTATCCTCTGCCTCTCTGCTTTATCCCTTGTCCTGCCTATTGCCCTGGTCTACAAGCACACTTCCTATGAAAAAGTCAAATATGAGATGCTACACACACTGGACTTTATTTATCAATCATTTTGCAAAGCTCTGTGTAAATGTTTCCGCAGTCCAAGCTGATTTTAGGCCACAAAAGTTTTGGTAATGCCAATTTCCTTTGAACTCATGTGCATATGTCGATAAAATCTTCCAGTGATACACCTCAACCACTGCAGCACATCCTTTTATAGGGTGTCATTACATCTGTAATAATTGAATAGCTAGTCTTATTTGTCTTAATTTATGGTCTTAATTGTCTTAATTTATTTATAATCTTAATATATATTTCAATTGCTTTTTAATTAAATAATATAAAACAACTGAGTTTCACAAAATGTTCACTACATTCATGTGTACAGTTAAAATAAATAACCAATTTAAACCTGATAACATAATCCACACATAAAATTGCAGTAACTCAGGCCAGTTATGGAATTTGAAGCCAGTCAACTGAGATCCACATTAGTGAGTCTCTTTATATAACATTTAAAATTTACACAGTGTCAGGGGCTCAACATTTTGTTCAACATCCTAACTGGATTTTCATGAACACCACATTTCTTGTGCACTGTGCACGGTTTTTAAAATAAATGTATTCCGATGCAGTTTGATAAATGAGGCCCATTGTGTATTCTCTGCATCCTCTGGTGAGCGCAAACCCAGGCATCATTGAACACAAACATGTGTAGGGATGGTACCCAGGACATACGCTTGTGATCAAGACTGCACATGTGGAACCAAAGTAGATGACAAAAAAAATTGATACACATTAGAGAAATGCTTACAACTTCCATACATGCTATCCATTGCTATCCATGAAACACTAGCTAGTAGGCCAGGGTGAGAGGGTTCACTTGGCTTTCATTCTCCTGGGTCCATATTTGGAACCCATGTCACTCAGTCCATTTCATAATAGCCTCTGCCAAGACAGCGAGAGCTCCAGTGGCCCTGCTCCCGTCAGCACATGCCAGGAGGCGGCCTTAAAATGGCTGCGCCCTCTGCCACTTCCGCACTGGCATGTTGCACCCACGGCCAGCGAGAGCTCACAAAGCTATTTATTTCAGGCTTCCAATTTAAATATGTGTCTAGCATGCAAGCGAGTTAATTTCCACTTCATGAATATGACTTTCTCCAAAATACCCCTCTTAAATAGCACAGTGTATTTTAATTTGATCGAATTGTGCTGGCTTCATTAGAGTCAGCATGAGGTGCAGGATCACATGCTACTGGCTACATATGCATTAGCAATGTGCATGTCCCGAATGACCTCTCATAACATTTGCATTTTGATTTGAATATCTACAAAAACCTTTATCTAATCTTTATTTTAATTAGTTAAGGGTTTGAGGTACTGATCAGAAGGTTGTGAGTTCAACTACCAGCATCTCCAAGCTGCCACTGTTGGATCACTTTTGTGTGAGAAAAACTCTTAACCCTTAACTGCGCAGTTGTATCCTGTCTCATAAAATAAAATAAAAGTGTCTGCAGAATGCAGATATCCTTGATATACTATGTTGATTCATAGACAGTGAGGTGTGGTAACCTTACACTACATTGTTCCATAACTAAATCATACCAATTGTCAGACTACTGGCAGTATGAGTTTCCATGACCTACATAAGTCTGTCAGGAGTGACTGACATTCACATTATCTGCCTAAATACTTTAAAATTAGCAGGCAAGTAATTCTAGTTAAATTTCACCTGGGGGTTTTTTGTTTGTGTATTATCATTCAGTGATACATGATACAGTGATTCAGTCCTTATGTCTGTTTTCCCCCACACTAGTTTCACACTGGTACTATGCACATACGGGGATTTCTAAATGAACATGAAACAGAAACTTTTATAAATGTATAAACTTGTATAAATAAAGGAGTTTATCTAACCACATAAGCTCTTCCGTAGCATTATATATAATAGTTCTCTAACTACCATAATACACTATTTTAAATCAGATCGGAGTGAAAACTAAACATAGGAAAAACTTTTCACCAGTTTATGTACACTGTCCCAGCACTGATGTCCCACAAGCAGAATATGCAGCAGCATTGCTAATGGGATTATTCTCCATGGCTTAAGATAAAAACCCGTCAAAGAAGGGCTAGAAAACAGAAAGAAGAAAGTGAGAGGGAGTGGAATACAGATTAATCATTCACTTAGCAAAACTTGTACCTTCAAAGTGTGCTGGGATCTGTCATCCCGTATTTGAATCTTGGGAGACATAATCATAAAACGCTCAGATTTAATATGTAAGAGATGCAGGACTTGTAACGTGGATTGACTATTAAGAGCAAACGGCTATTTTTAGTGAAACAAACAGCCCTCAGAGGAAAACATAAGAGTGAAAATGTCAAAAGGAATCTGAGTGTGACAGAGAAATCCCATAATGTACATAAGCCTAATTATGTTACCTTCCTGAAGTGTTTCTCATTTCTTTGTTTCAAACTACACAACTTGGTCTGTCCTAGAAGCTCAACAATAAAAGAGCTGCTGCAGGAAGAAAGTGCTCGGCTTAATTTAATATTTTCAGACATGGCCAGTATGCAGAGGTTCGCTGCTAGTTTATCTGCACCACTGAGTGAACTTTGCAAAGGCCAGTGAAATGTGTGTGTGTGTTTGTGTGTGTGTGTGTGTGTGTGTGTGTGTATATGTGTGTGAGGCAGGCAAAATGCAGATTGACCCTGCAGCCGTAAACTAATCCAGCCCTAAAGACAGCCCTCCACCCAGAATAAAAGACCAGGTGGTTGGGGGCAGGGGACATCTGGACCGCTTTAGCGCCCACCTATATGTGCCGCATATTGACTGCTGAAAATAAAGTGACTTGTTCCTGGAGGATAAGCTGGCCTGCTCGCTTCTTCATGTCTGTTAATAGATGTGCAAGCGGGAGATGGAGAGTCCGTCAGCTAAAACAGCAGGTGAAAATGGTCTTCTTTTTTTAAAATTGCATCACCTGTGCCACACTCCATCTTCAAAAGACATCTACTGGCAATAGGGGAAAACGTTTCTGGGAAGTGTTTGGTATTTGTGGGGTGACATGGGATTGGAGCTGGGAATGCAGTCAAGAGCAATGAAGAGCAATGAAGCAATTTCCCAGCTGATCTTTCCTGACTGGAAAAGAGGCCCCTGGAGCATCATGGTTATGACCTCTGATCTCGACGACTGAGGAGCCAGCCTGTCAATCAAAAAGCAAAGCCACAATCCCAAGTGCTATACAATGTTGTTGTTGTTGTTGTTGTTGTTGTTGTTCTTTCAGCCGCTCCCGTTAGGGGTCGCCACAGCAGATCATTGGTCCACATATTTGATTTGGCACAGTTTTTATGCCGGATGCCCTTCCTGACGCAACTCTCCCCAGTTTTATCCAGGCTTGGGACCGGCACTGGAAGTGCACTGTCTTGTGCAGCCCCAGTGGCTGGGGTTGGTTCCCTGGCTCAGATTCGAACCCAAGCTGTGATGGTGAGAGCGCCGAGGCCTAACCACTATTCCTCCAGGGACCCCAATGTCACTACAAGACATATGTGTGAAAATGTCAGGCTGAAGTGCAGTAAGCGGGGAGAGAAAAGAGGGAAGGAACTCCAAGAGGGAAGAACTCCACATGTCAGTTTTACTGCCTTATCAGTGATTAATACATTTATGACTTTTTAATGAGCGAGTTATATTGAGTGTTTGGAAATGTTTCATGATGCTCTAAGTTAGGCTGCATGGACATTGCAGACCTTGGGTCTGGGGTGGCGTGTGTACTGCCAAGTGAATGACACATTCTTACACACACACACACACACACACACACACACACACACTGGCATGGCTCTCTAGCCTGAGACCCCAGCCTTAATATTTTCATTGCTATAGCAGCACAGATGGGCCCAGATGGCACGGAGGCAAGGGCAGACGTATTGAAAAAGTTGAGTATTCTTGAATCTGAGAACACAATGCACGGATAAATATATCATTTGTTCTTGACAATACCAGCTGTGCATAAATACAATCCAGGCTAAAGGTTTTAAAGATATGACATCTATAATGTGCAACAAACTTCCTGTCTTCCATTTAAAATGCAAAAGTTTGTTGCAGGCCTAATCACACACACCTGATTCTCACATTCAGATGCCCATGAAAGCTTTATCCTGGTCCTGGGAACACTGCAGGAATACACTCGGGACTGGACACCCGTCCATCACAGGGCACCATGCATACACACATTCAGTGGCAATTTAGTAATATAGCCAGTCCACCTACTGGCATGTTTTCTGGAAACCGGAGAACTCAGAGGAAACTGACATGGACACGGGGAGAACACACAAAACTCCATACAGAGAGTATCCTAAGCTTAGGATCAAACCAGGGACCGTGGAGCTGTGATGGGGCAACCCTATGCACTGCACCACCATGCTGCTGCAATGTAATACAGCATTTCCAAAAACAAGTTTGATTAAATTTGATGTCAATATTCACATTGTGTTGTGTTAGTTTGGAAAACAAAATCCTATACAAAACAAGCATAATTAAAACACAAAGAATATATTAAATCAGGACAAAATAACATAAAATTCCACAAAAACCTACAATAAATATTTTAAAATGTAAAAGAAATGCAAAAACAAAAACAACCCCCCCAGCTTTCTTTTCCAATTTGATTTGATTTGGTTAACAAAATGTCTGTGGCACAGAAACTATTAGCACTCTGCCTGGAACAGACACACAGGCCACCTGTGTGTAGATTTATGACACATTTGCATGAGGCAGTGCTGCTCTGTACTGAACTATATTGCCTGTGACAGGCACTAGGCACACATCCGGGGGTTTCTCAGTCAGGTTCTGGGCTTTTGCTGTTTGTTGTGGATTTCAGGTAAATGAATGAGTCTATATTATTTTTATAGACTTTCAGGTTCCCAGGAAGACTTTGTTAATCATTGCTCACGCAGAGCAAAAGCGATAAGTAATGACCGAGAGAAGCTACTACTGGTTGTGAATAATGTCAGTAGATGCCATAATAAAGAGTATGGTCCAAACCACTTAAGGATTAAAGACAGCGAAATGGTGAACCTGGGAGAATGCAGTCATTTACAAACCCCATGCCATCCTTGATAAGACAACAGACGCTTGTTTTAAACTACAGTACCAGTTATTCTGGTTTATTTTCTCCCATTTCTTTTATAGGACTAGCAACAGCATTTATTCCCAAAACAGTTATGAAAATTATGAAGCAGCTAATCCTATTGTTTAACTTAAATTACACAGAGAACCAATGACTACACTTGTGACTCACTTTCTGCTTGTCTGGATGTTCCTTCATGGACATCCTAAAGATTTGCACTTCTCAAAAACAGACTCATCCTTTCTGGATACTGTAGATTTGTACCTGATGATGTCATCTTAAAGACCTGTGCTTATCCTAGGACTATTATTTACATTCTACATGAAGACTCATTGTTTCAACACACTTCCCAGGTAGCAAACCTGACACCGCTGACCCAACGTAATTATGTCCACCCAAAACAGACACTGGCTCAGTGTCTGTTTGCTATGTGGGTTAGTACTGTTTGACTTTGAGCTCCAAAATGAATGACTAATTTGAGTGATTTGGACTCCTCCTATCCTCCCTTGTCACCCCGATGAGGATGGGTTCCCTTTTGAGTCTGGTTCCTCTCAAGTTTTCTTAGGGAGTCTCAGGGAGTTTTTCGTTGCCACTGTCGCCTCTGGCTTGTTCATTAGGGATCTAAATCTACATTGGGATTTCTGTAAAGCTGCTTTGTGATGACATCTATTGTACAAATACAAGTGGGTTGAAATGAAAATTGAATTGAATTGAATTTTACTTATGAGTGGCATATAAACCAGTTAAACAGAGCCTGAAGCTGGTAATCCACTAAGCAGATGCATTATAGAGTGGCAATTACTTTTCAGGGATGAGCTGTGGTGACACACCGCAGATGGACTCTTTCAACCTCATCAATTATTAAATGGTGCAATGTTACACGTTGCTTGGGCGTGCCTTTTTTTCTCTAATGATGCTGGTTTTTTTTGTGGGTGTGGCAAACTGCAATCAGAAGTGACTTTAGAAGGTTATGGTCCTTCTTAATTGCAGCCAATGGAAAAAAGGTGTGTGGATGTCAACTCCCATTCTGGAAAAAATATCTGTGTGTATTTTTGGGCTGTTCTCTCTTAACTTCTTTCATGTCATGGATCTATCCTGACAGGATATTTTCTGTAATGGTTAATACAGAACAAAACCTGCCAATGGATATTAATTTAAAAAAAAAAACTTCCTTCAGAAATTTCATTTGAAATAAGGATCAAGAGTTCAGATCTCATCTAAGGTAAGCTTAATTATATTACATTTAAAAGGGATTGGGGAAAACCTAAAACATTATCGCATATTATTAGATATTATAGCCAAGGTGTCAACTGTGTGTTCCTAAATTACAAGGAGAGTATATATACAACACACACACGCAATACAGCAGTTATTGTGTAATTCTTCTGCTTTGAATCTTCTTCTTAGGCCCTTCAGTTAATTTAACAGCACTGGTGTTAGACTTTTCCTAAGTCATAACTAAAATAACTGAATAATGGCTATATAATAGGTCATAAAATTATGGTTGACATTACATTATAAGTACTATATTTTCATAAAATACAGAAAACACTGAGCCAAAATTTAGTTAAAGATCACTGGGTAGTGGAAATGTTAAGCCTCTAAAACAGACACCGCCCTTAACGTAAACACTCAGTGAGCTACAGAAACACCACACCCCCTATTTATCTCCAGCTGATTACATGATTCAAGGTGATCATTTTTCAGCTATGCCTAAAAATACACCTCTCACGCCACCGTCATGCAGGACTTGGTGGCGGAAAAGAGAAAGTCAACGCAGCTGTAGAGAAAGTGAGAAACATTTCCACATGTTCAGCAAAACTAATAGTGGCTGAGCAATTTATTCTGGTGTTTGCGTAAGTTGTGTAAGCTTGACATCATCTCCCTTTTGCTCCAGAGTCGAAGAAATGTGCTTTACACGCCACTTTCTGTGTACTTTAATGTAACAATCAAATGTTTTTCTAAGAATTTGTAATCGCTAGTATAAACACTGCTTATCGTAAAACTTTTATAGACTGTTTGTCCTTTGAACTCATTAAGCGCAATGACAGGCCTCTGAATTAGTCTATATAACAATATTTGTTTTTTTGTTTTTTTTTTGAGATATGAGATAACCTATAATCATATAAAATAGCAGGTCTTACTGGCACTATGGCAACATAGGAAGTACCATAGGAAGAAATGTCTTCTGTTTCTACTTTTCATAATTAGGTTTAAGCAATCATTTGGCATAATGCTAGTTGGCAGCATCTGCTTTGTATTTAACTGCAGTTGAAATTAAATTATGATAAAGACTCCAAGATGCAGAAAAAGTATTCACAAAAAGTGAATCACCTGTTATAGAAAAACGTTCTTGATGGTAACATGTAACATGACGACACTGTACATAATACTCCATAGACAGCATACTTGTAAATAAATGGTCTTGACAGTGTCTGACATTTCAATGGGTTGGATGGGAAAGAATATGAAAATAAATATGTATAGGTCATGCATAATAACTCTTATCTAAACGTTATTATAAAGGCAATGCTTCTAAATAATATTACGCTACATTATATAAAATGTATACCACAGCGCTCTTGAATTCTCAAATTTGATTGGTCTTGGGAGAGTCTGCCATTCCATGACAAAGGACTTTGCACTTTCTACTTTCTTAGTATCATGACAAACTTTTTGGTTTTATTAACTTCAACAGAGAGAGAGAGAGAGAGAGAGAGAGAAAGAGAAGGAAGGCTGGTGAAACTATGACTGTTTATAGCTGCTATGATGTAACTGATAAATGAAACTCGTCTCATGGAAGTTCCACATTACATGTAACTGTAAATGGTTAAAAAGTACAATGTGTCATTCCTTCGTAAATTAAAAATTGTTATTGTTGGCAAAAACAGCACACTCTGACATGTTTTATCCCTTACATATATCATGTATCGGTGCATGATAACCTGTGATATATATCTCATGAATAATTTATTGCCCACTTATTACCTACATACATATCACAAACTTCCTGCCTACTACTGGAAAGAAGACAGGTGAGCGAAGCACATGTTAACAGACTGCCATTGCAAAAAAAAAAAAAAACCTGCTGGACCATAAACACTGTTCTCTTATCTCTGCTTCACAAACAGCACACAAGCACATGGTCTGTGGTTTTCTAGCTGTGAGGAGTGACAGGTGGTCAGTGGCAGGGAAGGTTTGATGTTGTTTCTGCCCACTGGGGGTCTAGTGTCTATTTCATGAGTACAATAGAAGCTTTATTCCTATTGTAAGCTAAATGGGTTGGACACCATTTCTATCCTTCTGATAATGAGTTAAATGGTTGATGGCTCTGTAAAAAAAAAAACCTCTAGGTAATTGAGGTCCAAATCCTAACAACCAAAGAGATATATGTAG